CAATGAATAGTGACAGGGATTCTGTCTGAGTTAGGGTAGATGTTGGGCTACCCAGCAACCAGGGAAAGAGGAGTCCCAGAAAATTAGGTGACTGGGATTTGGGTTCAAGATTACTGAGCTGGGATCAGAGCTGGGGTCCAAGACAAGGTGCATGGGAGAAAACTGTACCTGTGCATGGTGATATAAAAGAAGAATCTAGAGCTGGCTGCTTATCTACACCTGGGGCCCTGATCATTCCTTGTTGAACCCAGGTGTTCTGACCTGAAGAAGAGAATTAAGGCAACAGATTTATATCAGACCTTTCTTGCCTCTCTTCACCCCTAGAGGAAAGGAGTTCTCAATACAACATAAATCTTGGTTCTCATTGGCTTAAGAACTTGACAAGCTGAGTGCACAGGGAGCAGGTTATTATTGCTGGCTGATGACTATGCTGAGTCAGATGTGGAAGCGCATAAGAATCCACATGCCAGGAGTCTCCAAATTCCTCCAGTTTATTTCTTATTGAAATAAAGCACACACACACACACACACACACCCTGTAACATAAAGTTTGTAGGCTTTTAAAATTTATTTATGAATACAATTGCATGAGAAGTATTACAAAGCATAAAAATCAGATCATGTTTTATTATATACTTAAGGAAAGAATATAATGACACAAAATTTATTCTGTCCCAGACATCCAAGATATACAGAGGCAATACCAAAAGATCACCAGGATAAAGCTGTCCCGCAATGTCATTAATTAAGCCAAGAATACATATTTCTTGACCATTACTATGTGTAAGAGATTGCACCAGCTTCTGTGGGAGATTTAGGAATAAATAAGATGTGGTTCCTACACTCAAGGGATTTTTAAGCCGATGGCTGTAGGAGAGGAACCTGGGGAGGAGCTCACACATATTAAGCACTGCAGACTCTCCCGTGCCCCTTGGAACTTTTGTGCTCAGGCTAGAACCATAGAAGGCCACTCTGCCCATGTCTGTAGCAGGAGAGCAGTGGAGAGGAATAACCCCACAGAAGCAGCCTTCTCACAGTGACTCCCAGAAGTGACATATACATATGCTAGTTCCCTTGCCCCTCAGGTGAGGTAATTCTGAGGGGTGCGTTTTGTACTACTTCCAAGAGTTTCTTCATGGGCTTAAGCTTCGGTCAACTATAGTGGCAGTAGCTGAATAACTCAGCCTTCACTGTCTGCTCCCCTTTCTCCATTCTACTACGGGAATCCCCTGCACTTCCCAAGTAAATGACTTGTGCTTGAATCTTTATCTCAAAAAAAACAAAAGAAAGAGCTTCTGGGGGAATCTAAGTCAAGGCAAGCATCTACTGGGACTGTGAACCATGCTGTCATGTACATTCATTATCTCATTCAGTCCCTTTAGCAACTGGACAAAAGTATTCTTATTCTATTGTGCCACTTTATGGCTTAAGGTTCTGCATTAGTTTTCTATCATGTTTAGATCTGAGGGGGAAAAAAGTTGTATCAGAGTGTAGGAGACACAGATTGGGACATTCTTTGGACCTCATATTATTTCTCTAGTGGCTATTGCTAAGCAGTGAGTCCCTCCTTTTTGGAACCTGATTTTCATCTATCTCTAAAATGAGGTTTTAAAAGGAGCTGCCTTTTAAATTCAAGCTTCACATATAATGGTCTTTCTGGGCACTTTTACAGTTTGAACCAAAAAAAGCAAGCCTCTTCCTCTGTAATGGTGAAACGGTAAAAGAAGGGTGCTTAGGAGCATGATGGCCACATCTCCAGGCTCACGGAGAAAGTTCTTCAGTGGGGAGAATGGAACTAACACAGAAAGAAAAGCAGAAGCAGCAGGTGGAGAGAGAGAAGAGAGATTCTCAGTGTCACTTGTCCCTGGAGCCAGACTGGCCCTTGCCCTTCCTTCACATTCATTACAAGCCAATGATGTTTCTTTTTGACTCCAAGTGAGATGAAGTTGGATTCCTGCCACTTGCAATAGAAAGAGCCCTGCCCAGTGCACACAACATGACAGACCACAGACTGGCTCACTCAGCATTTATCCCAACATGTTGTAGAAGGCAGAGGCTGGAAATCAAATCATACATTTCTCAGGATCTCTTGCAGGTGGAGCTCTGAATATGACTTAGATTCTATAAATCATATAAACTCATGTGAGCCTCTGTTTCAGAACTGAGACCAACAGGAAGCAAGGCAAGGTACAGAGGATTCTCTTTTGGGTGCTGCTTAGGGAGATGTGGAGTTTCCTGGTCAGCAGCTTCCTAACTGAAGAGGTATTTCCTGATTTGACAGCTTTCTGCATTGCGGGGGGGCAGCTTTCCTGATCGTGTCAGTAGCTTCTGAGAGTTGACAGTTATTCCTTCTAATAATTTTGCAGTATGCAACTGCCTGTATGAAAACCTTTCTTATTGCACAGTGAATTCTGTGGTCAGTAATTGAGCTCCGACGGAGGCACGCATGGTGCTTCATAACCTCTTGCTGTCTACTGCTTATTCTCTTACCTTGTCTCCTCCTCCCCCACCATGTTCACTGTACGACTTGATGTTTTGCAAACAGATCCATGTGGCAATGGCCGTTGGACTGCAGAAATGTGGGCCTAACATTTGGAAGAGAATCTAGGGTAGAGAGATTTAGGAATCAGCTATATAGAGTGATGAAACAGTTTGTACGGATGGACTTTGGAGAGAGGAAGTAAGAAAGAATGAGATCACTGAAAACTGAACTTCAGAGAATGGCTGCATGTGAGGCATAGAAAGACAGAAGGAGCAGTGGAAGAGAGCCCCAAAGCAATGATGACAATTGCTGGAGGAGCTGGGGTGGTCACGGAGGCCAGGGGAGAGAACGACTCATATGAATGTTGCAGAGAGAGAAGGGAAGCAGAAAACTAGGGAAGGCATCCTGCATGTCGGGTAGATTTCTGATGAGGTTCCCGATAGAGTGGGCAAGATGGAAGCACAAACATAGGCATTAAGAAATGGATAAAGAGGAAGCAGAAGTATAATGAAGTGAAGGGAGGAAGACTGACAGCATTGCCATGTAGTTAATTACAAACAGATGCCCTCCACAAACACCCCTGCCACCATTCCTAACTCTGTAGATGGAGTTCCTATGATAACAATTTTAGTACATGTGAAATGTGCAAGAGAAAATAGAGAAAGAATAGAAAAAGGAAAATAAATAAAGAGAAGGATGGAAGAAAGTTCAGATCATGCCCAGTTCTACCCTCTGCTTCTAGGCTCAAATCCTTTCTGGCCCTGCTCCTCTTCCTCATCACAAAAGGACTCCCAACGCCAAAATGTTGCTCCCTCCTAGGAATGCCACAGCTGCTGTGTTGCCTCTTATGAGACCACTTCTTTGTGGGTGAAATGGTTTCCTCTGAACAAGATGATCCTGCAGTCAGTCGCAGAGAAGAGACAGTTAGACAGGAACCAGCACTCAGGGGATGGGGCTCAGAAACCTCAGTCTCTGTCTCAAACTCATATTCGAGCTTGAGTCTTCAGAGTCAGGCCCCCAAACCTGTGTTCCTGGTATGAGCATGGATTGGAGATGGTCTCTACTGCCTGGAGCCAGGAAGACATCCTGTAGTGAACCAGAAGCTGAGGGGGCATAGCTGGATCTGGAAGGCAGATTATCTCATCGCCTTTATCGTCAGTTTCTCCTGTTGCCCCAGCCTTGCCTCAGCCATGCAGGGAGGTGCTAGTGAAGGCCTGTGTCAATTCTTGGGCCACTGTGAGAAGGTTACAAATCCTCCCAGAGGCCAGATCAGAAAACCTTGATCTCAGTGGGTCTCCAATTCTGGGACTACCCGCTACTCAGATCTCAGACAAGGCAGCTTCTGATGATCACAACATTTCCCTTCCCCACGGTTAGATTTTATTTTCACCACTCCCAAGGGGCTGTTTGTGAAAGAAAAAATCTCCATCGTGCATGCATGGGTGACAGAGTATCTCTACCTTCTATCCATTCCCCATTTCATTCAATTATTTCGTTCAATATATATATTTTTGACCATGGTCTATGTTTGAGGCATTGTGCTAGGCATTGTGACATAATGATGACAAATCACTGTTCTTCCTCTCGATACATTTGCAATGTAGTGATTTTCTAGTCTGTAAGAATGGGAGGACTATAGCAGCCCCATCTGTGCTTCCAAAGGCTTTCTTCACACAGTTGACCAATCAAAGTCGGAATGATGGGAATGGGCAGGCAGCTGCAGGAGATATGCAGTCAGTCAGACCATGGACGTGGTTTCCATCCCCCTAGAGCCTGTGAACATTGGCTTTGTGGTCATTTGAGTATGTCCCATTCCTTACCCCATACCTTCCGTATTAAGGTAGGCTGCACTCCCAGCGGTTCACTGAGGAAGGATGTTTAAAACGTTCCTGAGCCAAACAGAGACCATTCCTACAGGGGGAAGAAAAATGAGGGGAGATAATCCAGAACCAGAGAACTGACATATTTGACACACAGAAAACATTAAAATGCGTGAGCCGAAACGAAGGTCACTACTGAGCGGAAGACGAGACCCATGAAGGGAAAGAGATCGACAGGCCACGCAGAGCTCAGGTTTAGCTTTGGGGAAAGGATGGATGTGTCTCTGCTGGAAACAGCAAAGAAGGGAAGAGGAAGAAGGATGCCCTGACGCATTCTGATGAGAAGAATAGAGACACTGCAACATTCAGGTATGAATTCTTTACTGTGACTGTCTAAACTCTATCTTTCTAGTTGGGGGAGTTTCCTGTGTGCACAGTGTCAGTGAGTTGCGGTGCCCACCTCTCCTAAAGAGGCAAAGGGATCCTCACTCCATGTGGCTCCATTCCACCAGCCCCCGGGAAGCAGGGTATGGCCCGTGACTCACATTCAGTTCATCAGTAGCTTCCCTCAGCTATTTCAACATGGTGGATATAATCCAATAGTAAGTGGGGCATGCATTCATTACGCAGGCTGCATAAAAAAACACCCTAAAACTTAGTGACTTAAAACAACAAATATTTATTTTTTGTTTCTTTGGGTTGGGAATTTGCGAGAAGCTTAGCAGGGTGGTTCTGACTTGAGGTCTCTCGTGGGTGGCAGTCAAGATGTCAGCTGGACCTGCAGTCATCTGAAGTCTTGACTGGGGCTGAGAATGAACCTCCAAGCTGGTTCACTATCATGATCACGAACAAAAGGCCACAGTTCGTCACTGGCTGTTGGAGAAAGCCTCAGTTTCTCTCCAGAAAGACCTCTCTGCAGGGTTTCTTGAGTGATCTTATGACACAGCAGCTAGTTTTCCTGAGATCAAATGATCTGAGAAAGTGAAGGGCAGAAATCAGTGTCTTTTATAACCTAGTCTTGACTCACACAATGTCCCACTAGATACATAGGAAAATTCCATCAAATGCAGACAGGGAGTACTCAGGGTACAAGAACAGGAAGATGAAGACACTCAGAGGACACTTTGGAGGCCAAATTTACTTACTGCCAGTCAGCTGTCCAGCACCAGTGTCCTGCTGTAGAGTCAGAGGCAACGGCTATGAGAGCATCAGGTCAGATTCCTCCTGCAGCCCAGCCTCCAGGCCCCCTTCAGATTCTTATTTCCCAAGCTTGCTCCTTCCATCTCTTGTGGATTCTATTGACTTCCACGTCTGTAAAAACTCTTTATTTTGCTAAAAGCAACAAGGCTACTTTCTTGTCATTTGCAATCGATAATCCTAACTGGGACAGATGATGCTGATCCCCAGTAAGTTGTTGGTGAGCTCACGTGATGAGAGTAAGAGAGAAGATGAACTGAGATCAGAGAATCCAAGAGAGTGAAGTTCAAGGGAGGAGGCCATGAGGGATCTGAGCTGGAGCAACCAAGAGAAAAATATAGGAATTGCAGAGCAGCTGTGGGAACCAACAGAGCTTTATGTAAGACCCAGTGGAGGGATCAGTGCAGAACAGGTTGTTCTTTTCTTTTTTAGAAACTTAATTCAACCAAACACTCCCTTCATTTAGTATAGAACTCACTGGGTCATTGAAATATATTCAGACTGCAAAGAGCCCAGACTAACTCACCAAATTACAGGTGTGAGCCTGGGTTAAGAGTTGATATTTTTAATTAATTTACTTTCAACTTCATACGTAAAGGATTGAGTAAATCATATTTCTTATATTTTTCCGTGCAAGGTCCCTCTCTTGTTTTAATGTATATATTCATTTTTTATTCACATATCCATCTCCCCACCTCCCCACCAAACACAGTCTATCATTCTAATTGTTCAATGTGCATATGCTTATTTATATGTATTGATGTAAATAAATATTGTTTTGTATGCATGCATTTTTAATTAGTGTAAGTGTTGTGTTATAGATCTCACTCTATTTCTTACTTTTTTGCCACTAGCCATGTTTTTAAGGTTCATCTGTGTGGTTATGCTTACATGGAATCGATAGCTGCCACTAGCCACGTTTTTAAGGTTCATCTGTGTGGTTATGCTTACAGGGAATCGATAGCTGCCACTAGCCATGTTTTTAAGGTTCATCTATGTGGTTATGCTTACATGGAATCGATAGCTGCCAGCTGCTACAGGTGCTCCTATGATCTACACCCGCCACATTTTATTCCTGTCTTCTCCCAGAAACAGATGCCCATATTGCATTTAACTCCTCATCACCACAAAAAGCTCTGTTGTGAGCATGTTTTCACATGTCCCCTTTCCAGTGTCTCCCCAGCCCTGAAATGGCTGGGTCAGAGGATATTTGTGGACTTAATGCAATGAAGTCATGCATACCTACTCTCCAGAGTGGCTCCACAAGCCCGCCCTCCCACTAGCAGTGTATGAGGATGAAACATTTAAGATAAAGATTCATGACACTGACTGATGCGCTGGTGTTGTAGGAGTAGGTTCTGAGTGTCTCCAACCCATGCCAAAAGTATATTTTACTTAGACTATATGTTAAATTTTCTCTTCCATTTCATTTCTAATGCTTCTCTCAGCCTTCCCACCACCAAACAACATATTCCACGATAAGTGTTGAGATATGTCTCAGTCCGGTTCTGCTTCTATAACAAAACATCTAAGACCTGATATTTCCTTATAGGTTGGGAGGCTAGGAAGTCCAAGATAAAGGTGCTGGAAGATTCAGTGTCTGGTGAAAGCTGCTCTTTGCTTCCAAGATAGTGGAAGGTGGAAGGATAAAAAGACCTGTTTCCTACAGCGCTTTTATAAGGGCACTAATTCCACTCACAAAGATGGGCCTCTAGTGACTGAACCACCTCCAAGAGGCCCCGCCTCCTAATCACCTTGGTGATTAGGTTTCAACATACGAATTTTGGAGGAATACGTACATTCAACCCCAGCAGGATAGTATCATGAAAGAAAGGGGAAGGAGTCTACTGATAGACTCTTAGCCTCCAGTTCAGCCTTAGCAATCTCATCTTCCCTTCCTGTGAGCTCTCAGCATCTTCTAATGCACCTGGATCACAGCTGTGCACAGGGAAGCTCTCTAAAAAAGCCTTCCCTCAACATCTCGCTTGGCACTGCATGTATTGCTTGAGTCCCCCTCTTTGCCAAGCATCAATAAATCAGATGTCCACCAACATTATCTAAGTCCTACATGTCCTGAGGTAAAGTAAAAGCAAAATGATCCAAAAGTCGAAGGCAGGCAGGCCAGTACTGGTTTCCCTGTTGGATAGGTAAGGAAATGCAAGGTTACAGGAGTGTTGCAGGCATATTCAAAGCTAGAAAGCAAAGAGGAATATGAATTATCCACAGCAGACAGGATTTTTAAATCACCACCAGATAAGCAAGGAGCACAAAATACCTTCCTCAAATGTAATTGATGTTCTATCAACAAACAAGAAGCTAACATTTTGATGAGGTTTTTTGGTTTCCAGTACACTTTTACAGAATAATCGTATTGGTTCCCAACAAAGCTATGAGGAAGGAGGGCGGCCATATCTAATGTTCCTAATGCACAGTAAAGGAAACTGAGGGTAAAAGAGTTGAGACGACTAGCTTGAGATCCCATTTTTGGTTAGTTGTGGAGTTGAAAACCAAGCATAAACTCCAGGCTGGGGTCAGAAAATGTGATTTATAACAATGCATTAGTTCAAGCAAAATTCCACTGTTGTAAAAGAATTTGGAGTCCAAGTGGGAGTTTATTATAATGGAATCCGATCCAAGCACAATAATTCATAGTTACAAGAAACATTTAAAGTGGGACAATAAATTACACATGATACTTCCAAATTTGGGCACTTTTTACTGGAGAAAAGAGAAAAAGAGGAGATGATATTTATTTCTTAAAGGAAATCTATAGTGCCTCTCCTTTCTCATCTCTTTGCTAGTCAATAGTCAAGATAATTTCACCAGAGGTCCTACAGCAAGTCTCACTAGGTCCCCTGCGTGGAGATCAGAAGAGAAGACCGCTCTCCATGCCCCCTGTGCACATATCCAGCAGCCGCCAGTGTCCCCAAGGGTGTAACCTCCCTGAACCCTAAGCATGCAGAGAGAGGCAGAGCAGGGTGTGCAGATCGAGGGGACCCACTGTCCATGCTGCGAAGAGGGAGATCAAAAAGACAACAGTTCTTAGGATCCCAGGCAGCAGTCTGTTATAGAAGAGTGGGTGGGAAAAAAAAATTTTTTTGTTTGATTATAGAGACAGACAAGACCACCTGCTCTGAAGATGTGCAGTGTTCTTGTTAAAACCCCTCCCTGAGCCTTGAGGAGTAATTGCAGATCCATTTCCTACCATCTGGGATGCTGCTCCACAGAGCCCACTTTGGGGACTGAATCAGAGGATCCTTCCTGTGGTTCCATCACCCCAGGGGATGGCTGAGGCCAACCTCTGACCTGGAACTTCTGAATTCTGACCACTCACTGTCCAACTTCCAGCAGTATCCCTGGGGAAACAGAGATTAGCTCAGGAACAAGTAGTCACTCTTGGCTCGTTTCCAGGCCTTCATCATTTTATAAATGATAAAAAAGAACCTGTGCAAGAAGTGATGCAGTTCTAAGAAAAGACAAGGGAAGAAAATAAGCTTAAGTTGGCTAAGAAGACTGTGGTTGAGATTAGTGTCACCTCCTTGCCACTGACAAAGATTGCTAAGTTGACCCTTGTGGCTCTTGCCCCTGGGAGTGGTTTGCCCAGAGGAAGAAGACACCTTTGTACACAGGCTTGAAAACTAGGCTGTTCATGTACCTAAAGAATACAGCTGCCACTTCTGCAGGTGCTCAGGCTGGGAAGCACCTTCCATCCAGGGCCTCCAGACAAGCCCTTAGAGCTGCTGTTGAGGATGGGGTCCAAGCAGGCAACAGCACACATGGAGGCGTCCAGGAAGCTTGGGGACTTCTGTGGGGGCTGACACCAGCAGGACAAACTCTCCTGCCAGCTCCTCTTTCCCTGTTCAGCTTGATTTACAAGGAGAAAGAGGTCCAGTCTCTCCGAGTTCTAGTACTTATTTTGTCCTCATACCCACTTTCTATCAGAGGGGTTCACAATGTCAGTCTTCTCTGCTTCCTGGTTCCCCACCCCACTTAGATGATATTGGTGGCTGAATATCCTGGTCATTCATAGTGGTTATTAAGCTACTAATTGGCAGAGACAGACCTTACAAAACAAAAACCCAGGACATCCAGAAATATCCACTGGGGACTTAGGTGGGGTTCATTAAATCTTGACAGCCTTTTCTGCTTTTTAGGCCCCACTCCACCCCTAGGCTCACTCACAAACACAGCAAGCTCAGTGGAATTGGAAATGTCTTGGGCTCAGTGAAAAATGTCTTGGATTCAGTGACAAACGTCTTGGGTTCAGCGATATTTCTGTGAAGTCAAGGGGTCACATGAAATTAGCAAGGTCTCCTTGTACTTGGAATGAAATGCATTACTCCAGAGTGTCCTCCTAGATGGACTGGCTCCTGTTTACCTCGTGACCTCGCTCTTTGTGCTGTGGACACATTTACCCTCTTCCGGTTCCCCAAACAGGCTGACCCCTTACTCTCCTCAGGGACTCTTCCCACTCTTCATGCCCCAGGGATGTCTGTCTTTGCATGGCCTGTGTATTAGTTTGCTAGAGCTGCCTTAATGAATTACCACAAACCAGGGGGCTTAAACAAAAGAAATGTACTGTCTCCATTTGGGAAGTGGAAGTCCAAGGCTGGTTCCTTCCGAGGGCTGAGGGAGAGTCTGCTCCAGGCCCCTCCCAGCTGCTGGCGCTTTGCTGCCCATCTTCGGTGTGCTCCTTGGCATATAGAAGCATCACCCCAGTCTTTGCCTTCATCTAGACGTCTTTGCCTGTGTTCTCACTGCGTACAGAAGGGTGGCTATGTCCAAATTTCTCTGCTTTATAAAGACACCAATTATATTGAATTAGGGGCCCATTCTACTCGAGTATGACTTCATCTTAACTAATTACAGCTGCAATTACGGTATTTTCAAATAAGGCCACATTCTGAGGTCATGAAGTCAAGGCTTCAAGATATGAATTTTGTGCGAATACAGTTCAACCTGTAACAGCTGGCTCCTTTTGAACCCTCAAATTATGGCAGAGACTTTGCATTCCTAGGTGAGCTCCTCTATCCTATCCAAACCATCCACCACCAAACCCTGTTTTTCAAGCCAATCACAATTGTCAACTTTAGATGACTGACCCATTTGTTCCACTGGTTCCCTTATTCTCTAGATTGGAAGCTCCATTTCCCATGTGTAAAGGGGGCACATTTGCCTTGTTTCTGCTGGACTCCCCCCGACCACCCTGATGGCACATAGAGTGTTATCTGTATCCAGTGCTGTGCAGTGCCCAGCCATAATGGAGCCTGAGACAAGTGGAGAAATCAGTACCAATCCAGTCTTCAATGAAATTTTGAATATTTTCTACATCAAGGATTTTTGCATTGATTTTTATTTTCTAAATGTTGTATTAAAGTATCATTTACCTTGTTTGCCAAGCCTCTTGGTGCCCCTTCTGTTTTTTACCAGAGGCAAGTGCCTCACTTGTCTGACCTAGTCGAGGTCCTGTCTGTATCACTGGAAATGAAGAAAAAGGGAAGCGGTTACTCACACGGTAGGAACAGAGTGATCCTGCTCACTGTGAAAGGCAGCAGAATGACAGAGCATCCTCTTCAATAGAATTGGGTGGCAATGGACTTGAGGGAAACTGAGGCAAGCATTGGGTTTTGGAAAACTAAGGACAGCACTTCAATCCCTTAAATTTCCTCTTCCTCATAAGAACAAGATTTGGTTTGATTTTGTTTTGAGAACTGTACTTCCCCTCTCCCCACCCTGGCCTCAGAGCTAATCCAGGGCCCAGAGTAAACATCACTGTATTTCTGCCCCAGCCTCAGCTCCTGAGAGCCACAGAGGTACCATGGTTCTGGGTGTTGTGAGGTCTTTGCTCCCCATCTCTGAGGTGCTGACACACCCAGGGTGGGGCCAGGGCTTCTGAAACTCACATATCACTGAACAGCAGGGATTCCACCAGAAATGTCTAAGGACTGTTCTGCTTCCTGGTCAGAGGGAAGCCTGACACCCCAGCCCAGGGCTCTAGCTCCTCAACCAGTAACCACATACCACCATTTTCTCCACAGAACTTTTCACATTCACCCAGCTTCCCTCTCCTGACCTTCCTGCTCCACCTTCTTTTCTACCTCACTTTCCTCCTGTCCCTCCCCTGCAGTGAGAATGAGACATGGCACTTAAGGGACAGGTTTATTCTTCCTATTCCCCGCAAGAGTCATTTCAGAGTCAAACATCTTTCAATAACCCTGTTTCTGGGTGATAAATTACCGGGACAGACAAGAGAGAGGAATCCTCTCTTCGCGGTGCTGAGTGGGGCTTCTATGCTAATGGTGCTGGGCCATGGGGAAGAGGATGCTTCTCTGCTGAGTCATGGTTGGGAACCAGCTCTGCAGTTGCCCGATCACTTAATCTCAGAGATGTCCACGGAGCAGCCTGGGAAACTGGCTCTAGCCCAAGGTACGCGCTGAAGCAGCTCAGCAGTCTGGGTGCACACTTCCTGAAGTGCAGCAGCTCTTTTAGGAGTATAGGATGTGCTAGGTCTCCCTTCCCAGAAGCATCAGTTCTTGAGCACTCAGGGGCCTGCAGCCGCTCTAGTGGGGTCTGATTCTGAGCCACTCTGGTAAACAGACCCTCTTTTTAGAGCAAGTTATGTCTCCCACCTGGAGGGAGCTGGGCATTCAAGCAACTTTGCCTTTGAAGCCCACACTGTGTAGGAGCTAAAGGGAGAGACATCATGTTGCCCATGACATGGAGTCAGAGACTTTCCTTACCCTCCAAAATGGAGCTTCTTTTTTCTCCCCACTTTTTTTTTTTTTTTTTTGAGATGGAGTCTTGCTCTGTCTCCCAGGCTGGAGTGCAATAGCCTGATCTCAGCTCACTGCAATCTCTACTTCCTGGATTCAAGGGATTCTCCTACCTCAGCCTCCAGAGAAGCTGTGATTACAGGTGTGTGCCACCACACCTGGCTAATTTTTGTATTTTTAGTAGAGACAGGGTTTCACCATGTTGGCCAGGCCAGTCTCAAACTCCTGACCTCAAGTGATCCACCCACCTCGGCCTCCCAAAGTGCTGGGATTACACGCATGGCCTCAAAATGCAGTTTTAATGCCTCACAAATGAGGCACCTACCCTGAATGAGTTGCTGTAAGGGTTAAATGTGGGATGCATGAAAACGTGCCGAAATTGCACTTGACAGGAGCTCTGTGAAAGTGATACACCGCATTTGCATATGCACATGACACACATACACACACAAACACACACGCACCCCTCACCAAGGGAGTCAGTGGGAATGGTCATACCACAGGAGCCTAGGTCATTCAGAACCTTCCACTCAAAACTCAGCCCAATTTCTAGGATGCCCAGGGACTTCCTTCTTGCCCCTTCTACTGGCTGCACCCATGGAGATGGTAACTGTGACCACAGCTGGAGGGAAGAGTGTGTAGGACCACTCATGCGTCTCCTTATTTCTGAGCTGGGCCATTTTGGTGGCTGTATTCCAGAGCTGGGGTTCTATACGTCTTGGAATAGGAACCAGCCTGCTTTTGCTGGGCCTCCTACCATGTTTGAAGCAAATGCATTTGGTGGCCAAAACAGTATGAGGAAAGAAATGTTTCATTTCTCCCTTTTTCCTCTGGCCTCTATCAATAGAAAACTGATTTTATTTTTCTTAACTGCCATGCTCATATAGATTCCGCTGCCTGGTTGGCCAAAGGAGACAAAGATGATAGAAAGACTCTGAGAACCTGGGCTGTCCAGATTTCAGGAGGAAGCTGAGTTTACCTGTGAAGGGACCAAGGCATGAGACTCTAAAAGACACAAGTAGAAAGGAGCTGCTGAAACGATTCCAGGGCAGAGAAGGCAGAGTCATGGGTTAGAACGCATGTGAGAAGTAAGCCTGTCTGCCTTCTCATCCAATACAGGAACCCATTTGTCATTCACACATTCATTCAGTAAGCAACTGTTGCTTATCTAACCTCTGCCTATGCAGTTTTGGTGGCAGGATGCTCATTTGTTCTTCAAACACAAAAAAAGAGAAATTTTGGCTTATTAGGCTGTCAAAGCTTTCCCCAATGGTGTAAGCTCCATGAAGTCAAGATTCGTGTGGTATTTTGCTACCTACTTCACTTCTTGTGCCTAGCACATAGTTGTCGCTTAATCTTATTTGTTGAATGAATGAATGGACATACGAATGAGTGAATGAAATACATGAACGGCAGAAAAGAACAAATACCTCCAGGGCTCTAAGGACACAATTGGGGGTTGGGGGGTAAGTAGCAAGAACAACATCTGAAGTCTCGACGGTTTTCTTAAAAATTCATGGAAAATTTGTGCTTTGCATCAAAATATATCCTTCATTTTACTACAAAAATGATGCTTTGGTGTATCTGCTGGAGGGCAGAGTTTATGTGTGCCTCGGGGCCTTGCCCCAAGCACAGTGCCTCATGCCCCTGATGTTGCGCTCCGGCTGGTTGGAGGGAGCCTGGCACTGGGCTCTTTCCTGATCCCACCCCTGCATCCTGTTGCCTGGATTCTGCATCTACCCTCTGCCTCATTGTCATTCCATTGATCTCCTCCTTGCCTGGCTCTCATCTAGCCCATCCCAGGCCTAGGTTCTGCTCTCGGGCTTCACGTCCCAGGTGGCAGCAGGAAATCATACTCATCTTGCCTTTTTTCTTTGCCATAAAACTCTAGGTGAGACCATGAATGATTGGTCCTTTCTGGAGAGGGACTGATAATCTGTCTTTCCTGGAGCTATTACCAGGGTGGCCTGCCAAGTGGACAAGTGTTAAGAGGAGAAGATGGGGCATTGGCCAGGGGTGGGGAGTGAGCTGACATTAATGGAGTCAAGAGCTGCAGAGAGGTCCCCTCTGGGCAGCCAGACTGTGAATCATGGCAGTCTTGGAAGAAAATCACAATGCCTAACCTTCCTGCCCTGCCTCTGTGGCTGCTCTACGTGGCTGCTTCCGCTGGGTCTGCACCTGGGCTCTTTGGCTCTCACCGCTGGAGAGACCTTGCCTGCCCCATGGGTATGATGGACACACTGGCACCCACCTGTGTGGAGCAATGTGAAGGGCACTGAAAGTCTTTGTCAATAGCACCAAGCCTGTGTCCATCAGCAGCCACGGTGGAACCTATTATGAACCTAGCATAGTACTTGGCTCTGAGGGGCATATGGGGAGGCAGAATACAGACCCTGGGCACATCAGCTCACTACTGGAAATGTCCACCTCCTGGTTCTGAGCAAGACCTGGACTGGCCCCCCTCAGAATCACTCCTGTAGTCTAAGGCCCCCGTTAGAATGGAAAGGTGCTTCCAGAGGTTTAATAGTCAATCCTCATGAGTGCATAGCACCCATAGTTTGTGGTGCATTTTTATGTTCATTATCTCATTTAATCCTTAAAATAATTTTATGAATTTATTGAAAAAATAGAAACTTAAGTAAGAGATTCCTTTAAGGTCATGGATCTAAAAAGTGGTGAGGCTGCAATTCGAACCCAGAATTTTCTAAGAGCCTTGTCTTTCTTCTTTCTCATTCCCCTACTCCATGTCTATGAGGAAAAAGGTAAACTTTGATGTAGTGAAAGGTCAGGGGGTTTGGGAATGGGCTGAGAAGAGGACCAAGCTGGGCAGGATGTCACCATGGGTGGCTGAGCCATCACATGACAGTTTGAGGACTTGAGGGTCTCCAGACTGCTGAAAAGGAAGAGCTGTCAGCCAGGCCTGGGATGCATTTGTTCATATTCCTCCCTTGGACAGAGCCCACTAGAGATGCAATTCCCAGAAATGCATAAGGACCTGGGCACTTGGGTAGGGATGATATAGAGTTGAATTAGGTGGTATTTGCCTTGTTCCTTCAAATCTCCCAGAGCAGTGACAGCCAGTCACTGTGCACAGTACTGGACATTGTTGGAAGCCTATGATCTAGGAATTCACAAAGCCTCTTCTATGGCGTTTTTTTCCTCCACTGAGGAGTAACGGGATCAAGCGCCTTCCTTTGCTCTGCAGCTCGCCACTCTGCTTGGGAAGGTAGGTGACCCCAGCCCCTTCAACCCTCCCTCTGACAGGATCACTGACTGACTGAGTGTCTCGTTTGCCTCAGAAAAGAGCAGATGACTCAGAATAAACAGTGCTGCCCTCGTTCAGGTACACACCTTTTTCTGTGTCCTAGGTAGAATTCATATTTCCCATTATTTAAGCCCCTCTTAAGCCCTTTTTATCTTTGATGTGGTTTTCCTGGGCTGCCCATCACAAAATTGCTACCCTCTTAATAATAAGAAAGATGCCCCAAAGTGACCTGCCCTGTGTGTGTGTGTGTGTGTGTGCATGTGCCCGCACATGCACAAGAGAGACCATGCTGCTCCTATTCCTCAGGCTGAGATATGAGAGCTTCCTGTGAGACCCCTGAAATCCCCAAGGTGCTCTCCTATGAGGTTCTGCAGATTGTCAACACAGAACGATACCTGCACACACACTCACCCTGGAATCTGCACACTGAATGGCTGCAT